GGCAGCCTCAAGAGCGCCGCCAGGCCCAAACGATAATGCCGTTTGGGCCTGCCCGTCGGGTACTGGTCCAAGATCAGGCCCTGAGGGCCTGTAATACCCCAAGGTCGGGCCTTTAGGCCCTGATGTGTCCCTCCGGCCCTAAGTCGGGTCCGGTAGGACCCGTGTGCGTCGAAGATGTAACACATGGTATGGGTTAAGTCTAAGGAGTTCGTTCTAGAAGAAAGGATCCCGCAGAAACTGTTACCTGCATATAGGGGACCATGGCAAGTCTTAGATGTCAAAGGAGAGGCAGATGGTCCATCCTACACTATCGAGATTCCGCCCCACCTGCACATGTACCCAGTATTCCACGCATCTCATTTGCTTCCCTGCATTACAAACGATCAGTTCCCTCTCGACATTCCATGATTCCACCTCATATGGACGAAGGTTATGACTTAGACCGAATAGTTGCTGAAGATACTTTCTGTATAGGATGCCGAGGGAGACCACAAACGTTAGATCCGCCTATCAGGAACCCAGAGAAGACTGCTGGTTCCACAGGGAGGAACTAATACAAACAACCCCTCAAATTGTCTCCTATTATGAGAGGGCTAGACGGGGAGTGACTGTGTATGATTGATAAAGTATTTTTTCGTGGAGGACCTCGAAATTAGGCCAGCGCGAGTGAAAGAATTCACGTTGGAGACACCCAGTCCCAGTCCCAGGGTCCTGACAAGTCCCAAGTCCCAGCATCGTCCGGTAGGGTAGGCCATAGAGGCTAGAGGCCAAAATGTCGTAGATCGGTAGTTGTCGGTATCAAAGCGTCGTAGGTCGGTAGATGTTGGTACCAAAGCGTCATCAGTCGGTAGGAGTCCGTCCGGTACCCGAAAATTGAAGTCCAGAAGCGTCCAGTCCAGTCCGACAGTCCCAAGTCCAATTGTGCACCATGTCCCAGGAAAGTCCAGAAGCTACCGGATCGACAAAATGTTCGCAGCAGACAGGCCCCGGCCGACCTGTACCGGTCTGAAGCGGGCCAAGCCAAGCCAAGCCAAGCCAAGTCCTATACTTAACTGCTACAGTGCAGCGGCTCATCACTTGTTCAGTTGCGAGATGCGGCAGCGCTGCTGCTGCTTGTGCGTTAAGGCAACTTGGGCACTGTGCACCTGAGGAAGGAGAGGGCGCCTGTGAGATACTCCATAGCTAGGCTAGATGTAGAGTAGGAGAACCGCAGCCATAGCCACTAGGGTGTAAGCTTCCTGAGTGGGTGTATCCAGGGTAACGATCCAGGGTAGAGAGAGAGTGAGGCAGAGCAATCCAAGTCAGAGAGAGAGAGAAGAGGGGAGAAGCCATAGCTGCTATCTGGTTGAGATCCATTGTGTGTGTGTGTGCGGCAGAGCTGCTGGAGACAAACATTCTTGTATATTGATAAGAATATTGGAGACGACATCTTCAAGTGTTGATTGTATCTTGATTTGGCTTCTCACGTGTGAACTCTCATGTGAATGTCCATTGATGTATGTGAGGTTGAACTTGACGAGTGCTTGGCTCATTTCAGTTGAGAGTGTTTGTGGTTAGGAAGGCGGATGAGGACTTCTTTTTTGGCAGCGAGTGCCATTCGTTTTGTGACAGGCGGATATTGAAGTGATGTGGCTTAGGGGGGGTTATATGGCTGGTGGCAATTTGTGGGACATTGTGAGTGGCCCCTGGTAGGCTGCTGAAGGGAGCTAGAGACCTGTTTCCCCCACGAGCTGGGACCCCAATGATGAGCATATGGGTGCCGCGTCCAAGTTCGCCGACCATCATGGGAATCAAAGTAGCAGGTTCAAGCGTTGGGCATCTGGCCCCTCCATTCAGGCCCCCCAAAGCGGTGTCTCGATCTGCGGGGGTATAGGGCTATCCCTTTTATTTTCTTTCCTGATCTTGTTCTATGCTCGCTGGGGACAAGTAACCAGCTAGCACCCCCCAGAATAGATGGGCCTTGTTTTCCCCAAAACCGAAAAAGAGACTGGCCCAATGATTGTCTCACATTATGAACAGGGAAGAAGGGGAATTCGCATCACAGACAGGTAAAAAAAGGTACTAACTTTCTATCAGAGCCTCTAATTTAGGCCGGTGGGAGTGAAACAATTTCACCCATCTCAAAGTCCTGGTCCCAGTTCCAAGTCCCAACCCGTAGGACCGTACTGTATGTTGGTAGGTGTCATAAGTCTAGGCTGTACGATAAGTCGGTAGGTCTGTAGGTCCATACAGTAGGTACGTCGTTCGGAACATGGAGGCCTGACATTCCATCAGTCTGTTGCATCTTCGTCACAGGAAAGTCTGTGAACACGCTGGAAGCGTTGGAGGCTGACCGCAGCTGCAAGGAGGTACCACCACACACAAAGTACATGATTGGGTGCTGCATCAATACAAAAGTCCGGAGGCAGCTGAACGCCAACAAAATTTGCATTCGTGCCTGTTGCAGAAGTGCTGTTGCGGACTTGTGTGCTCATGCATCAGATAGGGCACACACAGTAGTGGAAAACGACACTGGGCACCATCGGTAGAGTAGGAGAGAGGAAGAGTGTGAGACTGGAAGACATGCAGTGAGTGAGAGAGTGAGGACTGTGAGAGAGGATACTCTCAGCTTAGGGAGATTTGGCTGAGTAGAGATTCAAAGCCCTGGCCGCACAAGTGTGTACCTGCAACAAATTTCTTGTATAAGACATGGATTCGTAACAAATTTCCGAGTTTCTCATATATCTTGTGTAGTGCATTTCTCGTGTGAAGCGTGCAGGTGTATAGTGTGACACTCAGGAGAAACTTGTTATCTGGACATTTGTCAAGATCAGCACTCCGCCTACCTCCCCGACTTCGTTTGAAGAAATTATCATCAAGCATTATGAGCATGCAGAATTCCCAAACTCCGGACAATCAAAATTTTGCACACCGTTGATCCCCCCCCTCCCTCCAGGTGGTATGATGCCTCCTCCTGCTGCCAGTGTGTACACCACAGCAGGCTCAAATGATGTCTGGAATAGGGGTGGTTAAAGAGAAGCGGAGAAGGCCATGGGTCTCCCACCCATAGTCGTGCAAGGCGTGAAAGCATGTACCACGATACGTTCATGACCCACCTGTACAACAGGAACCAGACTGACAATGGAAACGAGAGATGACCAGAATGTCACATTTGGCAAAACGACAAAAATCAAAGAGGATCGAAAGAATGGCCAAGTTTGAAAACATTAATTCTTAGGGGCCCCATTGTCTGTTTTCCAGAAGGAGATGAACCTTTCCAAGGCCATCAAGAAGCAGCAGCGTTCACAAAGAAACTCATCATTTACACACAAAATTGTCAGACAAAGGAAAGACAAAGGAAAGACAAACTGAGAAATATACCTGGGGGAGGTTTCCTTTCAAGTGCATTGTCCTTTCGTGCATGGTGAAGTGGAAACACATCGGAATTGATGACCGCGGCAGGATTGGCATCCATGTGACGATGCTCTGGGAATTTCCAACACTCATGGGCCTCGCTCTCAGTCTTAACCTGGTGAGACACAGTCGCGCCAGACAACTCACCACCACATCCATTTGTTTTTGTGGCAGCATCTATGTCGCCACACTTCTTTGCATCATTATTGCCAGTGTCCTCCGATTGGGACTGTCTATAGCCATCTCGGAGGGGGTTTGCATCTTTCCCACACCGCCCACCTTCCAAGTCCTCTCCCGCACCTTCCTCAGATTGTGACCATCGATGCCCATCTCTGAAGGAATTTCCACCACCTCCATACCGCCCACCTTCCCAGTCTTCTCCCCAACCTTCCTCAGATTGTGACACCATATGTCCATCCCTGAGGGAATCTCCAGCACCTCCATACCGCCCACCTTCCCAGTCTTCTTCCCAACCTTCCTCAGATTGTGACCATGTATATCCATCCCTGAGGGGATTTCCACCTCTATTCCCCCCACATTCCAAGTCTTCTCCACCACCTTCCTCGGCATTTGACCGTCTGCAGCCTTCTCCGAGGCAATCTCCACCTTCTTCATAGTGCCCACCTTCCCAGTCTCCACCCCCCTTTTCTGTTTCACTGTTTTGTTGCTGCTCCCACTCTCCATGACCCCATTGGCCACCCCATGACTCGTTCCAGCACCCTTCTTCATCCTTGTCTGCCCATCCCTGCTGTCTGTAGCCATCTCCAGATTCAACTGTAACATGTCCTGCAGCATAGGGCTCATCATAATACTCTGCTTCCCCGTCATATCCCCATCCTGTCCCCTTGCCCTCTTCCATAGCCACATCTTCATCACCGGGCGGATCATTCCTCATGTCTGCCTGTTTCTGTCCATCTGGACACTCTCCTCTGTGAAAGCTGTTATGAAGAGGTACTTTCTCTGAGCTCTCCTCAAAATCGTCTTCAACACTCACACCGAGGCTGTGGTATGATTCTTCACTATCGTCGTCCTGACTACCATTGCCACCATCCATATCATGGTATGAGTTGTGTTCATCACATTCCTGTGTGTTTTGCCATCGGTCTTTCTTTCCACTGGGCCATGACCTACTATTGCACTTCTGGTGGCCACTAAGCGAAGAAGGCTCCCTCATTTGAGGTGGCGTCTGCACTTCAACTGCCTCTCGCTCAACAAGTTGTTCTTCACATACCTCTCCCTTACGATCAGTATTCTCGCTCCAGGCCCTGGATATAATCTTCAATGTAGAGGAATTGCCAGCAATGTCATGGCTGGCAATATTCTCGCGCTCAGGATAGCACCCTCCTGTCCCAGGCCTACTTTTACCAACAGTATGGAACGAAAACAATCCCTCTTCAGTCTGTGCTGAATCCTCCTGATTGCATCCATCAGATAAGAAGGATTCTTCTGTAGCCACCAACTGCCAACAAGAACCAAATCCGCAAGACATAGATTTGGAATCGCACACACAAAATACAAAGAAATCAGATTATGAAACGGTTTTCGCCTTTCTGCAGTCACAGATGCGAGCCATAGACTTCGATCCCCAGACCTCACTTTGCCCATGTACAGTATCGAGTCGACACCTGAGTGTTTGAACCCATGACCTGTGTTTTGGTAGTTGTTTGTCGTCTGTCATAGGTCTGTGTAGTGGTCGGGGTTCGATCTGTAGGTCTGTCGATTAGGAGTCACAGCTTTGTAGAGGTCGTAGCTGTAGGTATTCTGAAAGGTCAAGGTCGTACCTGCTACAGTACCCGAAAGGCCAAGTCCACAGACTTCCAGAAGGTCCGGAAGTGGCCTTTCCAACTGTCTCACGTTTCATCAGAGGCAAGTGGGCAAGTGGTGAGCCCACCTGCGTTACGGCGGCAGTGCGACTGCATCGAGTTGGCAGTGCAAACCTATGCAGTCAGTGGTACCGGTCCCAGTCAGTCAGAGTCCAGTCAAGCACGTACCGTGTGGGGCTGTGTGCACCAAGGGCCTGGGAAAGGGGCAGACCAATGAGTTACAGAAGTATAAATCAAGAGGCATCGCCCAGCCATTCATTCATTCCTGCGTGAGCCATGCGGAAGCGCTGCCCTAGCGTCTTGTGTGAGGTGGTCTGAAGAGGCCTGAAGTCGAAGTGGGCTGAAGGAGAGTTACCACAGCCATAGCTGCTTGTAGTTAGTGGTGGTTGGAGGCCATAGCTCCCGTAGCTAGTGATAGGTGTGTATGCGTGTGTGTTACAGAGTGTGTGCGTGGGGTATTCAGGGTGATCCAGCGTTGAAGTGTGTGCGAACAGTGGTGTTGGACTCAGCGACGAGAGTTGGGATGTACAGGCGCTTATGCGCCATAGCCTGTTGAAGAGAGTTTGCATCTGAACAGTGTTCGTGGTTTCCATATCTCTGAGCTTTGAGTGGGCGCCTTGGCGCCAGTTTGTTTTGCCATCTGTTTGGATGTATGCGAAGTGGAAAAGAAAGCAAGTCTGATTGCATTGGTATCGGATCAGGTTCCCGTTACTCCATGCGCAGTTGTCGTTGAGCAGGGCGCCATAGCTGCCATCCACGGCGCCATCGAAGAAGAAGACCGTCCGCCATAGCTGCGCTGCGGAAGAGAGGTGCCGCGTACCTGCAGAGGAAGACAGCGACAAGAGACACACACACAGAGAGAGAGAGAGAGAGAGAGAGAGAGAGAGAGAGAGAGAGAGAGAGAGAGAGAGAGAGAGAGAGAGAGAGAGAGAGAGANGAGAGAGAGAGAGAGAGAGAGAGAGAGAGAGAGAGAGAGAGAGAGAGAGAGAGAGAGAGAGAGAGGAGCGATAGAAGATTGTTGTGCGGTCCAAGAAGAAGAAGTCGGCCATAGCCGTGGAGCTCGGACACGGAGGCGAGGTAAAGAGACGACGAGTGAAGGAGAGAGGAAGACGGAGGAGGGACAACGAAGGAGGAAGAAGACATAGCCGGGGTGAAGAGAGAGGCGAGGAAGAAGAAAGGAGGGAGAAAGAGAAGTGAGGGAAAGTGCGAGAAAAAGTGTCGGCAGCCATAGCCGAAGCGAGGGTTGACTTCGGTGTTGACCAGGCGTTGACTGAGGGTTCACTTCGACATTGACCAGGTGTTGACTGAGGGTTGACGTCGGCGTTGACCGGGCGTTGACCAAGGGTTGACCGGGCATTGACCAAGGCGTTGATCGGAGCTGCTGACCACGAAATTGACCAAGCTGGAGTTGGTATAATCTCACCAAGCCCTTAGCCTATTCCCTCACCCTATGGATGTGCACTCACCCAATGGTACTTGCTGAGTCTGTCTCTCTTCTTTCTGCATCGAGTCTCTTCTGTCCACGTGCTAGAACTTAGTGTATGAAGGATAGAGCCTTGTTGACCAAACCCACACGGGCTGAGTACGGCTAAGGGCCGTAATTGACGACTTGACTGTCCCAGTGGATACGAACCCTCCCAAGGACCGGTACTGACCGACGGGCTGCTCGGTGTGGCACGGTAGGCCCAAAATCCGAGCTGTGGGCTGCACAACATCGCGTCGTCCTGTTTGTGGCGTTAAATAACTCCTGAGGAGTTACGAGGGATCTCCTTAAATCCCTCTTGATCAGCAATAAGTCCTGTAGTGACAGCCATAGAAGTAGGTCTAGGCTAGTGACCATAGTTGACAGGGTTCTGAACCGGAGAGAAAGCCAGGTGGGATTGACGGCAGGTGCTGGGCATCTGGGTCTGGATCGTAAAGGACAGTGGTGGCGAAAGCTTCCGTCGGTCGTGGTAACCTCGTTGGATCGAAGGGCAAGACTCTGTGGTCCTTAGAGAGTCAGTCAGTCAGTCCAGTGGGTAGGTCTAAGTGGTGAGGAGTGGGACAGTCCTTGTCGTGCACCTAACACCATGGACAATTACCCTATGTACGACTTGCTCGTGGGGTTCTCCTTGTGGGGGACCCTCTGACGTATCCTCTTTCCTCTGGGGTTTTGGAACACGTTCACGTGTAGAGTAGAGACTCGGGGTGGTGTTAGCACCACTCCCTACACCCTGGAGCAGGAGGAGGAGGCTGCGAAGATCTCGGCCGAGAAGAAGGCCAAGAAGGAGAAGGAGGTGGTGAAGCAGGCCAAAAAGTTGGCCTTAATGCAGGAGCGGGCCACAAAAAGAAAGAAATTGGAGGAAGAGTTGGAAAGGGTAAAAAAGAGGAGGAAGAAAGGATGAAAGGAGTGGACGCAGAAGAAGAAGAAGAAGAAGAAGAGAAGAAGGTGGAAGAAGAAGTGCCCCTGATAAGAAGAAGTATTCGGGGTAGAGGAGAGTCAAGCGGCACGAAGGAGGATTCCTGGCTGGAGAATAAGGTCTTTGAATGGGTTACCAATCTGTCTCTGGGAGAAGAGGAGGCGGCGATGTCGTATGTACCCAGGGAAGAATAGGAGGCGGTTGTGGAGTTGGAAATCGAGGAAGATCCCCTCAAACGGCAAACAATAGAGGAGGAGAAAAAGTTGGAGTGGAAGCTTACCAGGGAGAGGAAGAAGAGAATGGAGGCGGCGAGTAAGGCGGCGAAGGAACTGGAGGAGGTAAAACAATTAAGGGTGCTGATGGAGGCACAGGCGGAGTTGAAAGGAAAAATGGAAGTTATGGCAAGAAATATAGAACGTCTGTCACAAGTTCAGAAGGAGCAATATCAATTTGGGAGAAACCAGGATATAGCCCTGCGATCGATTCGACTAGGCTTTAGAGAGTTTGCACGCGAGATGATCATGCACGTGTCCCCGTATGGAGCCCATTAAGGTGAAGCTTCCCGATTCCTACAGTGGGAAGGAGGAGGAGAACTTCGATAACAGGGAGGCCAATGTGAACTCCTTCGTGCATTTGAAAAAGATATCGCCTGACGAACATGTCCTAATAACGAAGCAGCAAGCTTCGCCAGGTCGTTGTATCGTACTGCTAATTGCAATAACTATATGGTGGCCTATTCCGCCTTCACTCCTCTCAGTGAGTTCTTTAACTTGTTGCGTGAAAGGTTCGCAGATGTCACACGAAATGTTAAAGCTTCTGACAAACTGCAAACCATCCATTCACGCCAGTGGAGGAGCGCCAGGGCACTCAAGGGTGTCATGGATGAGTCCGCCGTTCCTGATCATAGGGTCACAGAGACCCAGTTAGTCAACCTGTTTTATCGTGCCATGCCCGAGCCTTTGCACGGGCACTTGTTTGAGAAGAGTAGGGAGTCTGCCATGAGCTACGATACTTTGAGTAGGGAAGTGGTAGCCTTCGAAGCGCAGTCCATGCCGGTTTCCACTTTCTGGCACAAGGACCTTGACAGGGGAAAGAAGTGGAAGGGCCGTATCATCTCGGGTCAGGTCAAGGGCAAGGATCACCTGATCCTTACATTAGATGAGGGTGATATGGAAGAGGTTCCATATGATCAAATAGAGTGGGGCCAAGAGGAAGAGGACGATAGCGCTAGTCAGGGGAGGACTTACGCTGCTGTCACGGCTGGAGGGAGGCCGCAAGGAAGGGGGCCGGGTCTCTGGTGATCGTGGACAGGGCGATCAGGGGGTTGGTGGTAGAGGAGGCCGCCAAGCGGGAGGTAGGGGTTAAGGTCCCCCGCAAAACCGCTCTGGTTTTAATCGATCACCTTACAGGAGGAGTGGATGGCACCCTGGTCTGCCACAGGGTAGGCATTGGGAGGATCTGGACTTAGAACAGACTATATGGCAAAGGCGGATTGACCAGGATCAGTGCATTTACTGCGGTTATCCGGGCCACATCATAAAGTACTACCCTAAAGATAGAGAAGCCCGGTTTGCTGCACAGGCAGCAAAAGGCAACCGCCGGTAGGGGTCGCAACTGCCTCTACCCCTAGACCATGTGGAGAAGAGTGCGCGCACCACATAAAAACTCCCAAACCACATGTGTCTATGGCAGAGGTTGCTGGACAGTGCCTAGATAGTTGTCTTGAGACTGCTTGTGTTAGAATGTCACTAGGCACTTTCCCCACAGGCGCGGCAGAAGAATCGAAGGAGAGGATGCCTGTCTGGGCCAAGATGAAGAAGGACGCTAAACGACAACTAATGTTAGTGGATGTAGAGGTCTTCAGAGGACGAGTAGGGGCCTTGATAGATAGTGGGGCCACTCGTAGTTACATTGGTAGAAAAGCATTGCAGAAGTTAAAGTTAAATTTGAAAGTCCAAAAGCTAGAAGACCGTATAGCTAGTATCCTCGCAGACAATCTCACTATGCGAGTCCAGGATTATGTAGAGGGAGTCCAGGCGTACTTTCGCCTAGAGAAGGATGAGGTGGAGAAAGTTCTCCATTCCCTGACTCTCCTCGTAGAAGACAACCTTCCTTTCGATATAGTCCTAGGAATGGACTGGGGAGGGGCAGCAGGGGCCACACTCCATTTAAGAGAGCACGAGTGTAGGCTCCCTAGTCCTACAGGTGAGTTTAAGATTGCTCGCCTGTTTCATGTG